CCCCCCCCCTTTCCTTCTAAGGTCAAGTATCAGAAGGTTTAATTTGAGTATGTACACAAACTAAGCGAGACAGTTTTTGTGAAATAAATATACCTTTTTTATATTAATAACTTGCTTGAGACAAATGACGTAAATTTCAATATCAAAATTTAATCAAAGTACTTCTTGGCTCAAAAAGTGCGGTAATATTGCTCACAATTTTCAGTCTATAAAGTAATAACAAACTATGAACCTGTAAAGGCAAATGTATTTAACTATAGTTATCAAAAGATCAAACACTTTCCTTAACATTCATTCTTTACATTACGCTTGGTTATTTTTAGTGTTTAGCACAATCTAAGACCTTAAATACAAAGATGAGGAGATCACTACACTATGCGACTCAACGAGCTACCATTGAAATAGTAACTGCTACTTCAACTCCCTTAAATTACCATTTTCAATGTGGTTTTAGGTCGATTTCAACTATCGCTTCATCGAATGGCTTACCACCAATGACACCAAAAGCACCACCTGTAGCACCAATGACACCAAAAGCACCACCTGTAGCACCAATGACACCAAAAGCACCACCTGTAGCACCAATGACACCAAAAGCTCCACCTGTAGCACCAATGACACCAAAAGCTCCACCTGTAGCACCAATGACACCAAAAGCTCCACCTGTAGCACCAATGACACCAAAAGCACCACCTGTAGCACCAATGACACCAAAAGCACCACCTGTGGCACCAATGACACCAAAAGCACCACCTGTAGCACCAATGTCATCCAAGGCACTATTTGAAAGCATCAATTATGATAAGGAGGCAACTGGTAGATTGAATAATGAAAATCATATGGATCAGCGAAACCAAGTTGCGTACAATGAACATCAGTTATATAACTGGTCTTCATATGATCAGAGTGATGGGCAAGTCGCGTCTTCAAGATTGAAAAAATTGGATTCTTTAGACACTACTGATTCGACTTATTCCAATAATATTTCTTTAGAACTCTCCGGTACCCCCCTAGAAGATGTAGCTTCTGTTACTGCCGTTGTGCAACCTTCATTAAACCCAAGGGTAGAGACATGTATTGCACCGGTCTTTCCAACACCGCAGTCGACCTCGCTCAGAGATATTGGTACAGAAGGTACACCTACACTTCCACAGACTGATTTTCTCCGGAAATCTTTTTCAACGCAGATAGATGAACTCATACGTGCGTCGCACTCTATGCATCATTTGAGAAGTTCTACATCTGAGACATCTGGGTCTTTATTTTCCACCAATTCCTCGTATGTTTCAACCATCGGGAACGCTTTTTCATCACTGGGGAAAGGACTAACGGGGACCTTATGCTCAAAGAAAACGACATGTGAAGATAATAATGTATTCGAAAGAGATGACGACGTTTCAGATGTTTCGATGCGCCATGAAAAACTTTCGCCTCTGAGCATTGAAATGGAAGCCAGTCTGGATAGGCACGAGGTGCCCAAGGCTCTTGGTGGAGATGATCTCAGAGTGATTGCATTCAACCCAGTCCACAAGTCCAATAGGAAACAAGGAGGGGGTAAGTCATCTATTCTTGTGAATGAACGACTTCCTGTAAATACTGAAGCTGAGTTCCGACAGTACCGCTCTTCTTTTTCTGAGTCTATTAACGTGACTACAGTTAAAGGGTATTCCAATGTTGTTACAAAAATTCAATTGACAGAACAAATCGACAAAGCCATATCGCTTATTGAAGGCATCCATGCTGCACTCGACGAGGCTGAGAAACTTATATGTCCTTCTTCAATACTCTCTGGAAGTATGCGGATGCAATCCAAAGTTTGCCCTTCTAAAGGGCAAACCTTGGCGATAGTTCAGCTATGTGCTCGTCAACATCTTCCTTTTTTTTCATCCACACAGCATGTGTTGGAGCTAAGCCCTGAAGATCGTATGATCTATGAAGCCAAAAAAAATTCTCTACTACAACGCCTTCAAAATCCTTCGTCTTTGCGTCGTGCTTCTGACATAGCACAAGATGGCAATCTGGTACATTATGTGTGTGTGGCAACGCTCACATCTGGCCAACATGCCATCGATCTGGGCGCGGAAATATTCTTTGCTTGCACACGGCGCTATATTCTATCAACTGATAATGTGAAGCTGCATTTGCCGTCCACTATGCCACTCGCATCCAAATGCTCTAGGGAAGTATTAGAGCCATCGGTCCTGATTGGCTTTCCTTCTTTGTGTTATGGCTTGTTTCCATCTGCACAAACCATTAATACTGTACGATTTCTGAAAGGTGTCTATACAACAGTGAAACTGATGGCACAATTAGTTAAATGTGACGTTAGAACACTCGAAACTTTGGGGCTATTGAAGATACTAAGATATGGTGGCTCTGACAAGTTGATTGATATTTCCCCCTTTAGCGCATTACACCCATCAAAAGGGTATGAACCTATCTTAGAGAAAGTATTCTGTGATAGAAACATTAGTCGTAGTGAGACTCCTATGAATTTTGGTGTCCGTGCTGAGTATTTTATCTTGACTAAAATATGTAAGAATCCACCTCGCCGGCAGTGGGTTTTAGAACGCTTCATTCTCCCCAGTGCCTTCCAGAGGGCTTGTAGCATTGCTTCAAACAACCCTATCCTCAACGAATGGTATGAGTACTTCTTGGCTTCAGTGACGCATGATATGGAAGATGCAAATTCTGTTTGTTTGCAATACCTTCACCAGCACATTGGTCTTTCCCATCATTTGAATGCTGCAACGGTGATTAAACATGTGGTAGCCTGTCAGCGTACATTACCGCACCCCCCACACTCAACCAGTATGCATGATCCCATGAGTAGCACCAGTAAAAGCACGTGTAGCAGCAGCACCACGTTTTTTCTAAATTTCATTTGCTTTAAAGCCCCTGAATTACCTATGTGGGAAGATAAATCGAAGGCCTTGTTAACAGGAGAAATTTGTAAGGGCACAACCGTACTTTACGACTGCTCCCCAAGTTGCGTTTCGCATACCCTGGACCTGATTAATCAACATCAAGACATACTTTGGAAGGGTAGAGAAGATAGTTTTTCTGAACTTCGTGTGATTCTCATGGGGGATTTCGACGATGCTATGCCGGTTCTTGAAAGGCTGCCTTACGCAACCCTGATCTCGCAAGTCTCGTGCTTTTCAATGCACAATACCCACAATCTACAAGTCTCATTGCAGCAAGTCCGAACTTTCGCTGAGACGAACTGGCCCGAGAGCTTTGTGTGGGACAATCTTTCCGCGGCGCTGTGTTACCTGCAGAGCATTCACGCACCTTATGTTGTGTGTGCCACCCCGGCGATGGAACGTATAATTACAGCCTTCTGCCTAGAGGCCTGTCGGTTGGTTTCTGTCTGTGACGCTGAAAAAGTTGAAAGGGCAGCAGTAAAGCATCTCGGCCTCACTTTGGGACCTTTACGTCTCATGGACATTTATGGAATTCCTAAGTTATTGCGTATGTTCGACTCTGTAGCAGCTATGGGGGCAATACATCCTCATGGTGCCTCAAAAGGCGAGTTTAAGCAGCAATTTCACTCATTCATTGTTCCAGAGACTTGTACAGGCGTAATGGGGGCATTACGCCTGATGGAGGAGGACGGTTTTCTTGGCAAAAGTTGCAACTCTGGTGGCTTTTATATTTATCCTGGTAAAGGAAAGCGAGATTCGCTTCAATTGACCCCAGAGGGTGTCTTAGGAGTTCCTGTCGAATCATGTAGGTCAGTGTCCTTGAACACAACTGCGATTGGGCGATATCTTAAGCGCAATCTGACTGCTATGGAAATTGCTGATTGTCTGGTTTCAGTTGTTCTTAATGTATCTTGTGAGTTACTTGCTACCGGTGCAGTGCGCACTGTGATGGATGTGGACTTGCTTACCCTGAATGCTCTAGGTTTTAATGTTAGTACGGGAGGTGTCTTCACCTTTGTCCAGCAGCGTGTACCAGGTGGAGTTCCTGGCATCTTGCAACGCATGGAAGATCTTGCAGAGCTCTACGGTAACCACTTGAAACCTCATCCCTTGTTATTCCGTATGGTAAATCAAAGTGTCTCATTTGATGCATTAAGAGAAAACAACCAACTCATGAGACAAATTATATTAGAGAAATGTTAAGTGTAATATTGAATATCGACATTTCCGGGAGGCAGGCTATTCTTAGTTATACGGTCTACCACTTTGTTGTTCCCATGCGTTGTGTTCCATGTTTTAAAAGTCCTACTTCAAAATATGTGTATTCTTTGAATTAATGCATTAAATGTGTAAAAGCGAAGGACAGGTGACAACCCTCTTTTGGCATAAAAAGTATCGTTAATATTATTTTTCCTTATACATATATATGTACATGTATTGCGTATGCTTACATAGTATAGTATATCATATACATGTTTCTTTTTATTTCCAAATTCGTGTGCATTATATATATTTTTTGAATATTGAATTAGCTTTTATGAAAGGAATGACACTAATTAGTTTTTTTCAGTTTTATTCAATTCAACCCTTCTTTCACTCGTTGCTGTGTGTTCTATACAAGGTATAATTCAATAGTCCTTGTTGGCCTTGTTCAAGCACTTAGAGAGTATACGACAGACAGACCATTAACATGGCGGATGATCAGTTATCACTTGCCATCCATCAAGCTATAGATTCGCTTTCCTTAATGCAGACTCATGAGGTCGATATCGATTTTCGGGTCAATAGTAAAGCCACCGTAGATACACTAAGGTCTCTACAAGTGGAGCAGCGCAACCGAATAGAAAAGGACTTTGGTCCGCGCTCACCCTCACCAGATTTCCTTGCGACGCAACTTTTGGCAACTTACCGTGGTGAGGCTGCATCTTTACACCTTGCTAAGGAATCTGGTGACCCGAACTATCCGACCGCTATAGAAGCAATGTCTTCTACACAATGCAGGACTTTCAAAAAGGAAATGAAGCAGCGTATTCATGAGTGGGAGGGAGCTGTACGAGAGGAAACCGGGCAGAATGAGGTGCCCACACAACAAAAATCCATGCTTCGCTCTATATATGAACTCTACAAGGCCACTAAGAGTAAGGTTGTGATGTTAGACTCTCAGCAGCCGCAGCAGGGACACGTCAGTGGTCGCCGATCCGGGACGGGGGGTCTTGAGATTTATGATAGCTCACGTTCTTTACCTACCAGTCAACGTGGGAATGTTTTGAACGAAAGCTCTCTGACAACGGCTGAGCCTTTCTTGCCGCAATCCGAAGATGGGGCGACGAATGAGTCCACCCCTCCGGGCAGTGGCTTTGCTTCAATGGGCACAGGAAAGTCAGGGCGTGGGAGCGGGTCTCAGCCAGGCGCTGCGGCTTCATCGTCTGTGCTCGTTCGGGGGGAAAGCATTAATTTACCTCGGGTGCACCTTGGTACGACGCCACCTGACCTACTATCGACTGCGGAGCTTCAGACTGAAAAGCGTCATATTAAACAGGTTCTGCATCGGTTTGAGACAGAATTTCTCCATGCGTACGGTGAGCCCCCGAACCGTCATGACCGACGTAATTATTCATCGGAGTATCATCGTTATGGTGCACTGAAGAATGAACTGGCTCGTCGAGCGGGATGGAGTGAAACAGCAACAATGATCTCCCAAGTAAGTTCTAAAGAAAAAACTGTGGAAAAGAGCTAATAAAATGATTAATAGAAAAACTGTTCATAGGTTTCTAGAGGCTTAGAAAAAGGTGCGCCATGTTTTCTACACATAAAAGAAGAGATTTGTATTAATAACCTATGATACATACGTATTTACTTTCGACTATCGGTAGATCTATTGCTGCCAATGACAAAGATATACTACATCAAATGCGATGCAAAGCATGAATTAGGAAGGGGTGTTGGGAAGAGGAAGAGGGTTAGGAATAAATATTGAGGGAAATAATGTATCCAAATCTTTACATTATTTATTCTTTTTTTTGTTCAGTTTGGCTGAATTATTGCTCATTATTAAAATAGTTTTAGCTCAAATTAAAAGGATGTACATAAAATACAGACATGGATTGGTTTAGATGTCTTGATGATTTTGCTGTTTTATTTACTTTTATTCTCCTGTTTTCTTTATATAAATAAATAAATATATATATATATATATATATATAATACCTTTTTATGATGCACTTCTTCACAATATAAAAAAGAAATATTAGTAAAATTATCCCCATTTTTCCCATAAAAATAAAGCTTTCGCTGAAAGTTCGGCATAAACCATTTTAGTTTTTGATTCACCCTGGGTAGAGAAAGTAGCCACATGAATAAGGGTTTGAAACTTGACAGCGTCAGCTCTAACCCAGCTGAGGAAGAAGAAGCCATGCAACGCGTGCAGCACATTCACACCAAAGTGAGCTCTGGGAGTAATATTGATAAGAATTATGAAATTTCTAATAAAAACCCAGGTAGCGGTAGTGATTACAGTTCCGTTTCACAGCAGATGCTTGAATGTTTGTCCATAAACCAGGGTGTTAAAGATGGCTTGACTCTCGGACTCGATCGATACAATTTCAGCGGCCAAAACCGTCGCGCGCGTGGGTTCTGTACGTCTGTGCCGATCCCTTTTAGTGCTTTTGAGGGAATTCAACGTAGTAAACACAACGTTCAGCTCACTGCGAACCAAGAAGAAAACGTAATGAAGTCTTTTGACAAGTTGGTGAAGCCATCCGATGAATCTTCATCCTCGGGCTCTCCCACTGGCAGCCCTCCCTTCTTACCACAGAAAGTTGTGAAGGAGATCTCAACGCCTTTGCCCTTTGTCAGCGTCTTTATTGATCAGCACTGTCCTGAGCTCCGCAATGGCGTCACGACGGCCTCCCCCGCGAGCGGTGCCACCTACCTGTTACTCTCTGTTGTGACCGGGCACACCAGGCTCTGTGGCATGTGTCTTAAGGCAGGGGCCAACCCCAATAACGTTTCCTTCCTGAAGGATGAAAATCCCGCCGAGGAGGAGATGAGCCACGGTTACAGCCCTATATTCATCGCGGCGCTTGCGGAGCAGATCGAGATTATGGATCTGCTTAGCATGTATGGCGGTAGTGTGCGTGTGTACGATCGGTGGGGGCGAACACCACTACACGCCGCGGTTGCTATCAATAGTCCTGAAGTTGTACAGTGGCTTCTGGGGAAAGGAGCGCCGCGGTACCTGGGTGATTGCTTGAATTTGATACCTGCTGAAAGTGCGGAGGAAGATTATTTTCCTGACTTGGCAATGCCGAATGCAGCCTTGTATGGTGGGCCCTCATTGCCACCCAATTCCTACTTCTCACAGCAGGTATTGCCTGAGCAAGCACAATTGCAGGGGTCGAACAATGAAAGGCATCAGACCCTTAACCTCAGCCCCATTGAGGCTTCGTTAACCGAAGTCAAGACTTCAGACGTGAAGGAAGATGTCATTGAGAAGACTGTAAATGTTTCATCCCCCGAGAAAGCTGACGATAGTGCAAGTATCTCTGCCTTGGCAACGAGTGATATTAAAATAAAGGAAGCGAACCCTGAGGCACATGAGAACATCGTGAAATGTCATTGCCATTCGGGTCGGGCAGCTGGGTACTGTGGGTGTGTTGATGATATGTACTTGCGTTGGTCGTTTGACCGTCTCAAGACGACTTGGTGCCCTGCTGTCGACTTCGTGAAGCTAGCACGTCAACAGCAACAGGCCCCAACAATGAATACAGGCAAGATTCTAGAATAATCCTTTACATTCACGGAGAAAATCATGAAAAGTATTTAGTCACGTTTATTTGGTCATCGCAGATATTTTGAATATCTATTTGTAGTAAGACTCAATAAATACTTTATAAATGAATTGGTGATGAGTTACTCGTTTATCTTTGTTTTTGTTTTGTTCACTAATTTATGTTTTTCCACAGACTAAATCGTTAAGAGTTGAGAAATGGAAATCCATTAAAAAAGCTTATGACGCTTTACTTTACAAGTTGAGTTTCGGATGTTGAAAACTTCTTTTTTTGTGCCATCGATTGTGTTGATAATATATCTTTTTTGAAACTTCCTTTTATTGATTCGAACTTTTTTTTCCCCCGTGATATACTTTTTAGCTGATGTGAAATTGTCCAAGGCCGTAGAAGAAGCGACACCAATCAGAAACTGGGGGCAAATGTTCTTAAAAGGTTTCACTGTTTTTGAGCCCAGAAGTACAGCAGCAGCACGCCGTGCTATACCACACGCTAGAGGAGATTCTAGGAAGGGAAAACAGCGTTTTAGCCTTGCGGAAAATCTATATCGTGATCGCATTAGAGTTGAGCAAACCAAAGCACTGTCATTTAAAGACAGACTCAGGAGTATCAAGGCCCACCATTGTTTGTTTTTTGTAGGATTTATGATCTTTTGGTCTTGGCTTGGTAATTATTCAGTGCCTTACCTAAAAGGCACCACCCTCGGGAACAAACTTCAATTTCAAAAGGCGATGCAAGATTGAATAGCTAATACTTTTAGTTACACATGTTTGTTTGAATGAATAAACTAACATATTCTGGTGAAACTATTAACATGTTATTTCAATCCAAAATACATACATATGTATCTTTCATCATATTCATATTATTTTCCTTTCAAAGAGTTTTGTAAAGGGACTTGAGCCCAGCACTTTTAACGTTATTTTGATACCATTAGTATTTCGTTGAGGGTTCTGCTTTGCTATTTTGATCCATATATTTACTTATGAAAGATGAACAAAGTCTTTGATTATCATTGCCAACACCATTATTCAATATTTTTACCACATTTATATAAGGTGTCATTTTTTCACTATAACATCGAATGAAAAATGCTTTGTATGCTAGCTAACTTACCCCATGAGCATCGGTTACCACACGCTTATAATGGCTACAGCTAAAATGAATAGCTCGATCATCAGTTCCTCTTTTGATGATATTGGACACTGCAGATATTGGTTGTGAATATTTTTCTCTTATTTTTTGCATCTAAGAAGTATAATAACTATTTCCATATCTTGATTGATGTGTTTTTACTTCTGTCTCGATTCCTATTTATAGCGTGCCGAACGAATTCTATTAGTACAACAACAGTCACGACACTCTATGTGTTGACAGTGACAGCTGGTTCATGATAAGTGTGAACAACAGCAAAAGGAATGATGCCAAACTATCCGAGATAATTTACATTGTGAGATTGATTACATGAACGGCGAATTCTGTAGCAAGCATTTTACTTATCATCAATATGATATCAAAGAATTATATGTAAACTCATTTTCATGACTACCCTCTTTAAAAATTATTCAGATTTCTACTTCTTATAAGTTTCTGAATATTTGTATTTGTACCTCCACCAAATATATACACACTTTTGAAGTCTTTTTTTATAATTTTTATTTTCACAAAGATATTATATTTATTGCTTCTATTAAATTATTAGAGAATATAAAAAAGAACTAAAACATTTCTCTATTCTATTTAATACTAGATACATTACAAATTAGTAGCTATTTTAGTACTTATAATTATTTGTTTTTTTTTTACTACAAATAAAGTCAAGCAAATGCCAACCTGCATCACATCGAAAGGCGAGGAGTACACCATTCAGTTGGAAAATATCCCAATACCACAAAAAAAATCTATTTATGATGAGCAACTACGTGAGCGGTGCAATATAGCAGACAATAAAACTCCCTTGCATGTTCGTCATCCCTCAGTGGAGGAATATCCCCGTGCGGTCAAGACGTGTAATCCCAAACCCACAACCACGTCCGAGTTCCCTGCGCGGAAGAAATTATACAAAATCACCCTGTGGACGAAATGCATCTCGGTCCTGAATTTCTCCCTCTACCTGATGGTGGTGTGGTTAAACGAGGTGTTGCGCTACTTCTTTGCCGGGCGGGATCCGCGCTTTCGCCCGGGCTACGCCCCCCTCATCAAGGACTTTGACGAGCTGTGGAATCGCTGCTTTTTCCGCCGCGCGAATGACTGCTTCTCCATCCCGATCGACAGCCGCCCGTCGCGGGTGATCGGGATTATGGAGCGGGTCTCCTACGACGAGAATGCGACCTACCAGCGCACGGGCCGGATCATCCCCGCGATCAACATGGGCTCCTACAACTATTTGGGCTTCGCGGAAGATGTCCCGGGGGTGACCCACGACGTCCTGGACTGCTTGCAGACCCAGGGCCTGGCCTCCTGCAGCGCCCCCCTCGAGCTCGGCCAGAGCGCACAGGTGGACGAGTTGGAGCAGCGCGTCGCGCGGTTTCTGGGCAAGGAGGACGCGATCATCTGCGGGATGGGTTTCGGCACCAATTTCAGGGGCATCCCCGCCCTTTTCGGGCCGGGAACCCTCGTTCTTTCCGATCAGTTCAATCACTCCTCGATCGTGAACGGGGTGCGCTCCTCCGGCGCCGTCGTGAGGGCCTTCAAACACAACGAGTACGTCGAGGTTGAGCGGCTGGCACGCGAGGCCATCGTCCTCGGGCGAACCCCAGGAGGCCCCTACATACCTTGGGACCGCATCGTCATCATCGTGGAAGGGGTTTACAGCATGGAGGGTGAGATCGTCGACCTCAGGACCTTTGTGAATATCAAAAAAAAGTACAAGGCACTGCTGTTTTTGGACGAGGCCCATTCTATCGGCGCGATCGGCCGCACGGGCCGCGGGGTCTGCGAATACGCCGGGGTCGACCCGAAGGACGTGGACGTCCTCATGGGGACTTTCACGAAAAGCTTCGGCTCCATCGGCGGCTACCTCGCGTCGGAGAAGCGCGTGATCGACTACATCCGCGTGCAGTCCTCGCTGGGCCTTTACTGCGATACGCTCGCACCGCCGTGCGCGCAGCAGGTGATATCCGTTCTGGATGTCATCCTCGGAAACGAGGGAACGGATATAGGGCGGAAGCGAATTGCGCAGCTCAAAGAGAATTCAAACTTCTTCCGTCAGGGGCTTATCAAGCGTGGCTTCACAGTGCTTGGGGATGACACCAGCCCAGTGGTCCCAGTGATGCTCTTTAACTTATCCAAGCTTCCGGAGGTTTCCATGCGCTTTCGCGAACGAGGTGTGGCCATCGTAATCGTCGGATATCCCGCTACGTCACTATTGGAGGGCCGAATCCGGTTTTGTATTTCCGCCTCTCACACTCGTGAGGATCTGCAGTACACGTTAGATGTCCTGGAGGACTTAAGCCAATACATTTATATGGACTTTGAGAAGTCTAACTTTTTTATGGCAAGAAAGAAGAAGAAGGATTTAATTGCCTAGCAGGAAATGTGAAGGCAAATCCTATCAACACATTTGGGACAGCGTAAAGAAAAAATGTAACGGGTACATAAATTGTTATGCCTTCCTATTCTTCCATGACTTTTTTTTCTAGTACAGTGGACTTATGCATCGTTCCTCCTATTTATCCTAATTTAGTCTACAATTCGGGTAAGATGACTTTGATAAACAAAGAGTGGGAAGGCAATAAAGAAGTGTTAAGCCAAATTTGTGTAAAATTAATTTAAATGCGGCTTTGTGTAGCCACTTCTATCATTTTTTTTCCCTAGTACTTCGTTTTCAGATTTTGGAAATTTCCATTTACATAAGTTTTTTTCTTTTGGACCATTAATTCATTTTTTGGCATGAAAAAAAGGTCTAACTATAAAAGAAAATTAAGTAAATTTGAACTGAAAACCTTAGGAAAAATTGAAGTTCATAAATTTTTTTTTCGGAAAATATTATGAATAGCGAAGAATATATGAAAGTATATTTGGATGGCATTATTAATGACAAAATTAGTTTAGGTTGCATATTTTCGTTTTGTAATTTTAACTATTTCTTTAACATCAATTTCAAACTTTAGGGATTTACTCTATTATTCTTCTGTATTGTAATTAGCGTGTGGTCTAAGTATTAAAGAAAAAAGGTACATTTAAAAATGTACAATATTGTGTTAAAAATAGTTGGGAATATATCTTGAAGGTTATTTCCCATCTCTCCCC